AGCTTTAGCAAAATCATTTGCAACGTTCATTTATTGTTGGGGGTTTTGTTTGTTTGCTTGTTTGTTTTTTTGTTTGTTTGTTTGCTGTTGGTCTTGGTGCTTTTTGTTGTTGTTTTTTGGGAGGGGTGGGGGTTTATGTGTCTATTTGTTTGTTTGCTGTTTGTTATGGTTGTTGTTGTTGTTGTTGTTTTTGTTAATTTTGGAAAGAGACGCACATCGATACAATAAGGGTTATTTAATGTAGGGAAATGTTTTATTTTGTTAAGTGTTTTACGCTCGCAACTGCATAAGGTCATATGAACGCACAAGACACATTAAGCATTTTCAGTTTACTTACTTACTACTAAGACTTACTCTCTCCCTATGCCGTAAGGTACATAAAGCGAAGAGCAGTTAAGTAGACGACACGCTTGTCTGTCCCTGGCCATGTCCTCCAATTTCGGCAAATCCAGGCCCTGGGTGATTGTCTCATCCCTTATTGTGCCTCTATAGCTTCCAGTTGGTCTTCCTCGTCTTCTTTTCTAGTTGGTTTTCAATACCATGTCTGATAGGGCAATCTTGTATTCGGCATTCTTAGAACATGTCCTAGATATCTCCATCTTTTCCTCTTTATGGTTGGGTTGATATCTTCAATTCCAGCTCTTTCCAACACTTCATTATTTGTAAGAAATTCATTCATTTTATTAGTAAAATTCTTCGTAAACATTTTGTTTGGAAGCTTTTTAATTTTCGTTGAATTGTTTTGTTTGTTTTTCATGTCTCAGAACCATACGTCAATACAACCTAAATATTACTATTATATACACACACACATATATATATATACACACACATACTCAAACAAACACACATACATCCCATACACCCACACACACACACACACACGCACACACACACACAAACACACATACACACACATACACACACATACACACGTACACACACGCGCGCGCACGCACACATACTTACACACACACACACGAACACACACACACACACACACCTTCTCTCGTATCACACACACACGAACACACACACACACATACACACACACACACGCA